AAGAGGACGATGATTTTTCGTCGCACTCAAGTCGCGATTTTTCCCACCCGTGATACATAAGTTTAACCGTTTCTGCGAGATCTGAAAGAGAATGGAGATGGAGCGAGAGACGGAGAAAAAGCGTAAGGAAGCACGAAGGAAATGTCCGGCTATTTCGAACGCGCAATTATTTAAATGGCGTGCCATTAGGAACGCGTCCGTGCAGTCCTTAGGAGATCGTACATACGTGCGAGATCGGATGTGTTATCCACTTCGCCGCGGCTTTCTTCGTGCGATTTCCATTTTAATTAATTTTCGTCCCGGTCGCGCAGCAGAGAAGGTGTGGTCTTGGTCGTACTTCTCCAGGCTTGCAGTCAATTAGAAATTGTAGCTAAACTTTTCAATTAAATGTAAAATTGATTCAACAATTTAAAAAATTATTGTAGATAATCGCGATAATGATATAATAATAATGATATTAATAATGATGAATAATAACGGTAATAGAAATAATAATCAAATATTCATTTAATTGTTTCTCTAATTATTAAAGATAATAATGATAAAGATAATAATCATATACATAATATGTGAATATTTATTTATTTTTTATTGAAGACAAAAATGAGGCTTTCGAGCATTATTTCGTCTTCAAGACGAAGTTCTAGTTGGAAATAACCGAGAATAGCCTTGGAATAAACTTTGAGATAAATTTATCAAAAAGTATTGTTCAGGGTGAACATTTTTCTGACTATGGCTCCAATCTCGTCGCTTTATCGTGTCGCCGAGCCGTAATTTACGTCGAAATCTGCTTATCAGAAGACACAAGAAAGTTGCGCGATATTCGCTACTGCCGTTGTGTCCCGTTAATCAAGATTAAAATTAATTAATTGGTAAATTAGCTAATTCGGACAGAGAGTGCGAACGTGATAGTTCACAGCCACGAACGTCGCGCGTCTGCGTTCTTCCGAATGCACATCCGCCGTTTAATTCTGTAAAACGAAATTTCGCGTTACAACGTCCGATTTAATGCCTCGCTGCAAAACTACCCGAGGCGATAGAGAGAAAGAAAGAGAGAGAGAGAGAGAAAGAGAGAGTTCGCTTTAATACTGAGATACTAATTTAAAGCGCTGCTATTAAAATACGTAACGCTGTAAGCTTTTTTTCAGCGTACGCGAAAAGCCGTCGCGCGATGAAAACGAGATCGAGAAATATGATAAAAGGGAAAAGACCTGTTAATAAGTGGCGCTTCAAAAGCGTAATAAAACGTTTGCAGATTATGTAAAAGAGATTTTTACGGTCGCTGATACGTAAAGCGGGTACGAGACAAAGGAGCAGAGGAGTAAAATGATGCGCAATAGGGGATGAGTGAGGAATTATAAAAATTTTTAGAGAATTGTTAAGACAGTTTCCGCAATCGTAATATCGATTATTATAACGCTTCTTAGAGTTTACATTCGATGTTATGTTACCGATAAATAACAATACCGTTAAGAAAATTCATACGTTAAATTAGACAAAAAAAATATATAAATAATAGCGTTGACGGAAACAATTAATTTTATAGTCAATCTATTACAATAATTAAATCTATTATTTATTGGAATACAGGGAATGGTGCTAATTTAAATATTGCTATAAATCTCGTATTTAAGATTAAGCAATATTTTACATATTTTACTACTTTGGCCATTTCAGGGTTTTCCCGATGTAGCCTGAAATCGTGATATCGATTTAACCCTTTGACTGGCTGCGATATGCCGTTGTGTCATCGCCTCACGACATCGCGATGGACATGATGGACACGTCGTATGTTATCGATTTTTCTCGCTTGTATGACGACCAGCGGAACTGGAAATTGTGGCATTGTAATAGTTGGCAGGATTTTATTGACTAGATTGTGCCTGCGTCATCTGTCGATTTATGCGATCGTATAATCATCGACGTCATGATAATACCATTCATTTGTTAATCATCATCTTTACATGTGATTCTCTTCAGTTTGCCAATCAATTGTTCCATAATTGAGACTTACGATACAGTAAAATAAATATTTATAAGAAAACTTTATAAGACGTCGTAAATTTCACCGCGTAAATACAATTTACAGTGAGTAAAACTGCATGGATAAATTCTTCAATGTCTCATAATACACATCTGTTAATAATTAAGGGATAAATGAATTGTGTGCGGTTAATTCTTTTATAAATTTTTTTACAAGTTGAAAATAAAAAATATTCCAAAGTTCTCTAGTTTTATGTCGACTACGTGAAACGTATGTCAGCGACGTAAAATGAAATATGCATCACTTTATTCCGCGGTTGTCAATGACGAGATAAAATATTAACATTTTCATCGCGTCTAACAATTTTCGTATTATTCTGAGATCTTTTTCTTACGAAGAATGGCACAACTTCACCGGCGGGAAATCGATCGCGGAATTATCAGTGAACTTTCATACTTTTCACATTAGATTAAATCCCATTCGCGCGCGCGCGCGCACGTTGCTCTCTATCTGATCGCAAACTCGAAAAATTCGTGCGAAAAAATCACCCTACCAATTCCGAAGGAAAATTACACAATCGAACTTCATAACGACAATCGTCGCGGAATATTTTTCGCGGAGTTTCCTTTTTTTTAACCCTGAGAGCACTTTCGGAACGGAGAGAATCGACTGATCGCTGTGGACAATAACTCATTCGCGTCTCTTATAAAATGAGATTTACTACGGCGACTTTTCGCACCTCCTTAGTTTTCCGCAGACGACTTCTTAATCTCGTCACCTCGCCCGTTACCCCATCCACCGACGGTAATCTAATTTTCCGCCCAAAAGGAAAGGGTTTTAATCGCTCGTCGCCTGAATTCGCTCGTCCCTGACGAGTTAACCGAAAGTTACTTAAATTATTTTTTTCTTATCGATTGTAATTTGTTAACGTACTTACGGAAGACGCCTTAATTACTACTATACGATATATATGTATACGATTTTCTCTCAATTAATTGTTATATACAGTAAATTTTATAGTCTTTTCTTCCCAAAAAATATTAAATAAGCTTAAAAACTACATTTTTTAACGATTAGTATATTTTTCGTGATTTAATAACAAATAAAAATAGCTAACAATATGTCATACTTCGTATCTCTAGAACAACATAGTTTCGTGTTTCGAAGATTTAGTCTCTTTTATCTATAAAACTCTTAAAGTGCCAGAGTCCGCGGAATAAAATGTGTGCACGAAAAATATATAGAAATCCACATATCTTCCTTCTTCCCATATCCTTCCCTCTAATCGATTTCTCTTACACATGTCCCATGCTCCATTTTATTTTTACTATCCGTGTAATATCAGCTATTTCAATTTTCTTATATTATTCATAACGCGCAGTCGAGATTTTTCCCGGTCTCGGTATCGGCAGCGCGAGAACGCTGCGAAAGCGCAGCTGGCACTTTGACGCGCGGCTCCCCCGTTTCTTCGGTCGACTCGTTTCACGGTTCGGCGCCGAGGTATTATAACTTCGTATGCACACCGAGACGACAATCCGCGACTGCTTCCAGATCCGCGCAAACTTCTCCGCGTGCCGGCGAGTCACGCGGTCAAGATTTGCAATTCCTCCACTTTTCTGCGATCCGACCCACCTTCCCCCCCTCGCCCGTCGCGCCCCCGGGGGGTCGACGGCGGCGACGAATTCTAAATTTTCCTGCGAAATTGAATGCGACGGGGAAGTTCACCGCGCGCGATTCGCAGCTCGCGCGACCGCGACGCGGGAAACGTGTAACCGGCGTTGTAACTTCCGTATGCAGCATCTGGCTCCGCCGCGCCGGTGAGGAGAGCACATTGTGCCGCGGCGGTTATGGTTGCGCGACGATATTTAGAACGTCGGGATAACACGCGTCGAAGTTCAACTTAAACTTAACTCTCGCCGACACTCGTCGGCATCCGGGTTTTCCTACGTGAACTCGCGAACTCGCGTCTCAGGACGCGATTATAATTGTATGTAACTACACTTACTCATAAAACTCACAATCAGATATAATTACTCAGATATAATTGCGACGCAATTATAATTTATGTAACTACACTTACTCATAAAACTATACGTGTACTTCACCGGCCGCAACGCTCGTAAATTAATATTACAAGCGATGGAATCGAAGTTAATCCTCTCTCATTCCAGATTTTTTTGAAACACAACTGATAAAATATTTCCACGAAACTTTACATATTTAAATAACTTCTCCGATTTTTGTCGGTTTTATTTTCGATGCTTATACGTGAATCATACATTTGTGTTAACGTATTTATATATATTATCTATAAAAGTATATTTTTACTTGCTTTCGCTTCGGTCTATTTGTCAATTATTTCTATGATGTTCAAAAAAGATGCGCGCGAGAGTTTAATACCACGGTCCGCAATTGCATATCTGATTACGTTCCTCCGGGTGTACAATGTCGAGTCAAACGATCTCATTTGGGATTCTCTCTTGCTCCCGAGCCAATCGTCATCACCACTTCCGTCCGCATTTTCCGGGCGGCGTGTTCCGCGATACGTTTTCGCGCGTCCGCATCCGCGTCCGCGCCGCGCAGCGCCGCGTTGCAACGTAGCGTAATCCGGTCGAAAAGCCGGTTACGCTCGTCCTCATTAACTCGCCTCAACAATGAGCGTGGGTGTCGGCGTAGTACGTCCTTTCAACCCCCCGTCCACATCCACACCCTTCTCGAGATTCGTAGGGCGCACGCGCGAGCTCTCTCTCTTTCTCTCTCTCTCTCTCTCTGTTTCTCTCTTTCTCTTTCGCTGCAACGTCGACAACGACGACTACGACGATTACGTCGACGACGGGGAACGATGTGTGTGGGGGCGGTTCGCGCGTAAAATCGCACCGAGCGGAGGCGCTCAGTCGCGCGGGACACGTCGCGGGGTGCGGTTGCTTCGTCGTTGGTGTTCGTAACCGCGGTGGTATACGTACGTGCGTGCGTGCGTGCGTGCGTGCGTGCGTGCGTGCGAGGAGGGAAGGAGACGCCGTCCCTATCTGTGCCTTTCGCGCGGGGGTGATGTGGACGATGTGCGCGTGCCGATAACGATAAGGCCGCAGCAGGGATGTGCCTAGCGGGGGGCACTCGAGCCCTCCTGCTCCTGGCGCTCGTGCTGTGCCAGCGTGCCGGCGGCGTCGATGGCAAGAATGACAACTGTGAGTACGCACCTCGTGCCTCTTATCGATGTAACTCTGAGGGAGGCTCATATAATGTTAGACGAGGGATGGGGGTGCTGAAGCGCGACGGCTCAAACGCTTTTACATTTGTATGAGATGTTCGATAAAGCGTGTCTTTACGAATGACGTCTGTAGATCTAACGTGTTGGTATCGTAAATTGAATGTTTTAATACCGCGCGAGAGAATTTATCATCATATGTATGTATATAGATGTTTATTGTTATTGTAGATGTGTTCTAGCGCTGCAATTGTGGAGATCTTTGATTGATTGTATCAAACTGATGCATTTTATACTTCTACAGTTTCGGTTCATTTAAAATTTCTTTCCCAATTGTGCGTGATACAATCGGTCTAATCAATATTTACGCCTAGTTAAATGTATAAATGAAATAATAATTAAAGCAATAAAATGACGCAATAAATGAATCGTAATGATAAGATAGATACTGGAAACAGGAAAATTAAAATTATCATCGTCCTACACTTTAGAAACGGAAAAGTAAGATTTATCGTCGTCGTACACTCGTCCAAAACTATGTCATTTTACTGCAATCGACGATAAAAATGAATTAAATTATATCGGAGGAACAAGTTATCTATACATGTAATGTACTTATCAATGAACATGTAAATTATCCGGAAGTGATATTTAAAATGTTTGAGTTGGGATTACAATCAGGCTCACACTTTAATTTACACATTCTAGCCTCACATGTCGACGTTATCTCAAAATGCGCTTACACGACAGATTATATCCTCGGTCTAAACTTTTTATTTTTTACCCAAGATTAAAGTTACAGATACCATACATCTTTTGAACGTAAGCCGGTCTGAGAATATTATAGACCATAAGCCGGCTCCGGAGTATTTCATCAGCTCCTTTAAAATGGCCGCGACACAAAAGCGGAATATCCCCGTGGGACATCGCTCCGGTACATCCCCATCCATCGGTGTCGTTCGCCCTCTCGATATCGAGGCGAAGAATTCGAGATGGTATCTGAGAATTTATCATTGCTCTCGATAACCGCGGACAACGCGCGTCGCACAATAAAAATCGTCTCGTGCTATAAAATCGAACGAGAATTCGCGTCACGGATTATCGGCGTGCACGGCGCGCGATTTTGTGTGTGTGTGTGTGTGTGTGTGTGTGTGTGTGTGTGTGTGTATGTGAGAGAAAGAGAAAGGGAGGAAGAGAGAGAGAGGGACAGAGGAGAGACGCGCGGGTCAAGAGATATTCCTGTCACTGGTTCCGCTCGCTTTTCGGCATCGACGTATGCTAAAAACACGGTTTACGCGCGACGTACGACACGATCGTATCAGATTGCCCGGCGTTATCGGCGCACCACAAATCATGCATCTCCCTCTCTCTCGAATCCTCGAATTCCATTCGCCGTTTATCCATATGTAGAGCACCAAGAGCGATATTGGATTTAACTCGCGCGAGTTATATAATAAAACCGAGGTTACGTTTCCTATTAAGGGAAGCTCCTTAGCTTTTTTGGAAGCAAATGAAATATTACGGTCATTTCTTCTCAATGAACGAAGTAACCTGCGAATGAATTATTCGAATGGAAAAGTTTCGTTAAGTCAACAAATTTTTTTTCACCAAGTTGTTTCTCTCGCGTAATCGGGTAGACGGTATTATTTCCGTCCGTCTGTAAATGGGAGAAACAGGATTTCTCGTGGAATCCCTTTTGGAAACGGGGAATCGACCGTGTAAAATATCCTCTCCTTTTCCCCTCCCCCTCTTTCGCTCTTCTGTGTGTAAAATTTACTCTTTACGGTTTGTGTCTGCAACATTCTCGGTTGTGCGTTCTCGCAACGCCTGAAAACTTCATCCGCGACTTCCTGTATGCGCGACGCGGAAAGTGGGTTGCGCCCATATTCGTCGCGAGGAAGGAAAAGTTGTTCTAATGCATTAGGGACGCATGTGTCTCTCGCCGTTGCTCGCGCCGAGGCGCGCCGCACGGTTCCTAACTTGGGATTGGTAAGGTTTACGACACCGCGGCGGGAATCGATCCTATCGCGACGAGTACGCCGGCCAGCACGAACGTCCGCCGTATAGGTACGTTTGTCCGCGCGTATGAATAAGTCTCGTCGCGCGCCAGTGTCGGTTCACAATAAGGCTTTTAAGCCTTATTTACACCGTAAGATATTGACCAATTACAATCAATTATTCTCCTCATATATATGATTGGTTTTATTTCTTTTTTGGGGGGGGGGGATTGGGACTATTTCTTACTGCTTAAAATCCTTATTGTGGACCGACATTTATTGTGGATCGACACTCAAGGTCCATCTACAATGAAAATAGTAGGTCGTAAGCCGTAAGAGATTGACCAATCATAGTCGATTAGTTTTATCGACTATAATTGGTCAATTTCTTACGGCTTACTACTCACATAGTGTAGATGGACCTTCAGTCAAAGACTGCACGACTATATAGACGCAAAATTCCGTATTCCAAAAAATTATTCTGTATTCCAATTTGAAGACTAAAAGGAACTTCGAGATATTTAAATTAAAATATCCTTTTTCTGCATTAATTAATCCTATATTAGCTAGTAATAAAGGATCCAAAATGCAATAGGCGCGCCATGAAATGCGATAGTTCGATAGCACGTAGATACACGAGTCGAGCGATCTTTTCCTTTTATCGCCGTTAATTTAATAACTGAATTCAATATGAGATATTAACCAATTATTATATTAACATATTATACATATAACTATAGAGTACCTAATGGAACGGATTGGTTAACATAATGTGTTAATCTATTATGTAGTCGCATTAAAGCTAGATCTCTAATCGAGCAATTTTCATTTTTATGTTAGTAATAAGTTTGTAAATTAAGTACTACGAAATATAACATGAGCACACGGAAAAATTGCGGCTTTCTTCAATAAGAAATACGATTGGCGCCGTAAGCAGAAAGTACGACTTTAATTTTTACTACTTGAACCGGGATTCGTGGGGAAATGGGGTTGCGGATTTGAATTAAACGTCGCCATTTCCCGTTCATAAGTTTGTACTTCGCGAAAAGTCCGGGGGGAGGGGGGCTCGAGAGCTCTTTCTGAAACGTCGATACTTCGGGCGCGGCGACGCGGATTAAGTGCCATTTCTACGACGGCGGCGGGTCGCCGTGTCGCGAATTTTTACGACCGGGTCGCGATCCCCCCTGTGCAGGCTCGCGTATTCAAAACACGAGTATACCGTATACCATTTTAGTGGTCCGGCATATAATTTTGGGGCCATCCGCCCGCGACGAAGAATTTTTATGATCGCATCTCTCCTCCCTCCTCGTCCTTTTCCACGCGATTTCATTAGACGCGAATTTCCGGCGTCGCATCACGACCGAGATTTTAGCATTTCATAGCCAATAAAACCAGGTTCGATCGAACCTGCAGTGCGGAAAGCAATCGCGACCGTACGCGTAGTTACGGACGCGTTTCATAAACGTTGAAATATTTGTAAAGCACGCTGGAATATTCCTAATTATTTGGACGTGGACAATTAAATGCCACGACAATTGCGGATAAATGTCACGAATTTCGTAAAACTTTGCAGCATTTGACATTTCTACTATTTCACAGATTTTTATTTATAAGCTATTTTGTAGACAAAAAAATTATACACATTATTATCTTCATTAATATACATTAATAATAGAAGATATTCAATCTCTCGGATAACATCCGAGCAGATGCAGCGCATTAAAGCATCTTGTAAAATATTAAAAGAATACACTGTATTATTATTCAGTTATGGTATTATTTAGCGAATTAATATTTAGAAATTGTGTAAAAAAATCAAAGAAAAATTATTAAACTGTTTATATATCTTAATCATATCAGTGAATTTTTTCGACATGTATGATAAATCAGATTAATTATTTTAAAATTTATGTTCCATAATTTTTTAAATAAATATATATAAAAAATAAGCTTTAACTTTTGTAATTTGTATACCTTATAGATTTACTTTTTCTTCTTATTAATTTCAACTTATGTTGTATCTTGCTTTACTCACAGAAACATATATATAATGTATAAAATGTATGTGTGGTGTATGTGTGGATGTCCGCAATGCATTGAGCTCGGGTCCGTGGGTTTGCTAAGCTCAAATGACTGTGCGGATCAGTCATCCCTGCGGGAGAGGCGTGATAGGGGCCGGAGAATCGGTCGCGGCCCCGCAGGTAAACTTTTAAGCGAGCGTCCGCGTTTACACGTAACGATAGCATTGTTTCCGGGCTACCTCTCGCATCCCGGTGGATATAAAATTGCAGGGAAAACTTAGGCGGAGTGATGCTCGCGAGCTTTCGCGATGAAACGCCCGCGCGCAAACACGATGCTTCTTTCGCGTCAACGCGAACGAAAATTGAGGAAAGGGGGGGAAGAACACTTGCCGTGAGATGGGTTTAGATTTATTCGACTAGAAAGAGGGAGTAACTTTGCGTTGCGATGCGCACATGCAGGCTGCAAACTACCGTGCGGTGAAACAATTTCGATGAAAGTCCAAAGGCAATACCGTATTGGCGAACACGTGAATTTCAATATTAAATCCCTTGGATTTCCGTCAGTCAAAAGTCATTTGGAAATGATTTTTTACATCTCGCACTTCCCGAGGCACGGCTGGAAAATCGAGGTTCTCGTCTAATAAAAACATTTTTCCCCGGATTTCGCGTAAATTGACAACGTCCCGGTCGTTCCCGAGCTGAAAACTCGGCGTTAATTCTCTCATCGAGGGTACACGTCGTGAGGGGAAAGATTACGGGCAATTTCTAACGACGAGGGACACGGCAGACCGGTGACGTGGAATTTTTCGAGCATAAGTAAAAATTTGCATTCGTGCTTCGCTTTCGAGGAAGAAAATAGATGGAGGCCCGGCACGACCGTAAAAATGGCGACGCGACCTCCGCATCACGAGGGAGAGATACAGATAATATCGCGCGGGCTCTCGGCGTATTCGCGCGAGAAA